TCGCAACCGTGTGCACCATGCATGGTGCACACGGTTGCACAGCATAACGATTGGCCAATGCACGCTCCCGTTGGTGCATCATGCTCTGTTGTTTTTTCTCGACAAACTTGCTTTTTAAATTATTTTTTCTCTTTCCTTCTTCTCTCTCCCTCTCTCTCTCTCTATCTATCTATCTCTCTCTCTCTCTCTCTTAATTGGCAACTCAAAAACCACAAAAAAATACTATTATTGGAGAAGCTCTAAGAATGTATATATGTTGGTTATGATGGAAAATTGGGGATTATGTAAAGTTTCAAAAAAAAAAAAATCTAGATAAATCCTAAAACGAATGATACTTTAACAAATAGCTAGTTCAAAGTATGGAGTTGACAACCATTAGAAAAATTGATAAACTAGATTTAATAAAATTGTATAATACACCGTAATTGATAAACTAAAAGTGTGACGTTCCCTTTGAAATAGAAAATAGAGAAGAAAATAAAATTATTCCTATCCATTTTTTCAAGTCTCACGCAAACATATTTATTTATTTAAATTCTTATTCAGGGAGTCTATTTTTACTTAGATACATTTCAGTTACTAAGTATTTAATTCGGATTCCGATTATGTTATTCCAACTATATCCATATCCCCTGTGTTTCTCTATTTCTTGTGTGTACGGTTTCACGATTTGCTTTTGCATTGACAATTGTAGCTAAGAAAAATGGTTGAGCAAATGATAGGAATGATAGTAAGGGTAAGTGTAAGGTAGTGTTTCCATCAAACGACACTACCAAGGATATACCAGTTGCTTCATCTTCCGCAGAGTTGAACGAGCTTGAGTCTCTGAACCAGAGATCTGAGAAGTGTAATGTGGAACAAAGAAGGGGAGAAAGCTCACAACAACTGGCAGTTGTGAATGGGCTAGAGAAACTCTTAATTCCTCTGATAAAAGAAGCTTCCAGGAGTACAATCACAAAGATCAATGAATGTGGTAGTGAGGAAGAAGCATAATAGGTTGTGTTAACTACTGGATCATCATCATATGAACAAGGAAGTTCCTCTATATGGGTATCCACTCCGTAGTGGAAAACTATGGGGACATATGCCACCACCCACCCATACTCATGCTCCTGCATATCATTACTGTGACACCCCGAAAAATTGACCTTTAAACCAGATTAATCATCCAATTAATCCCTACTTTTGGCCCTCACAATTTCCCTCCTAATTTTCATTGAGAATAGTTGAGGGACCTAAATTGACTAAGTCCCTTAGTTTTCTAACCTAGTCAATGAAAAGACTTTGTGCTTTATGCCTTGTACCCTAACCTTTATTTTCCTCCTAACAAGTTTGTGGGAAAGGGAGGTCATTTTAGTCTTTTCACAATCCTAGCTTGCCATCCAAGACATTTCCTAATACTACCACCTTAGTCTTCCTCACTTAGGCAAGAAACACCCTTCTCTCTACACTTCGGCTTTCTCTCTAAGCTAACCTAAAACCCTCTTAACCTTGCAAAGGAAAAACTCCAAGATTCCACCTTTCCACCTCTACAAACTTAGAAGGGGTATGTCCTAAGCTTGTTTAGTGTTATTACTTGGTTTTCCATAACCTTTATCTAAGTTTTGCTTGTTTTGTTGGGGTTTTGGTTTGTATTTGGAAGATCTTGTGGAAGAAGATCTTCAAGGAGAATCTTAGGAGTTGAGGAAATGTCATTTAGACTACAAAGGTATCCCATGTCCTACAAAACTTATTTTATACTTGCTATGATGATTTCTTGACATTCTTGATGCTATTGAGTGATTTTGGGAATATACTTGTGTTTATGCCATGTTAGAGCTTGTATGTAGGATCCTTTGATGCTATTCTTTGTGTTATTCTATGTGTTCAAGTTCCCTTCTTGATGAGTATGAGTTTTGAGGTGTTTTGGATTTGAACTTGTGCATTTTGGCAATTTTTCCCGAAGTGGGAATTCTCCTAGGTTTGCGGTACCTGCGGGTAGACCGGTGGGCGGTGTGCCACCCGCCAGTCAACCCCTTGGGTACAAGGTTGAAGGTGGCAAGGGAGAGCACGGGTGGTTGACCACCCGTGGCTCCACCCGCTGGTACAGTGCGGGTAGTGTGGCGGGTGGTCGTACTGCCCACTTGTACGCTGTATTTTGGCCCCCGTTTTGTTGAACCGTTATGCACTTGTGTGTCTCGATTGATGTTTCGTAAGTCTAGAACGATGTCTTAAGTACCGTAATAGGACTTGTGAGTCTTGAATCGTGTTTATGATCTAATCTTGTGATTCGTTGGATTAATATGAAGTATATGTTGTTCATATGAGCCTTGTTGAGTATCTTGATTGATTTGGATTCTAGCTACGTTGTTATTGGTACTAGTATGTGTTTACCCCGTATTGATCTTGCCTATTCTTGTTTAGGATTGATGACTTGTGTTACCAATCGTTGTGATCCTTTGATTTGGAAGCCTTTCGTTATTGTGGTATTACCTTGGAATGTTTCCTTCGTATTCTCTCTTGAGTTCTTTGATTGAACCTATCTTTGTGAATTCGTACAAATGTTGTACATTGTCATGATTATTCCTTGATTCGGGCTAATGATGAGTCTCAATTATCTATGTCAATGATTATGTGACTATGTGTATAAAAGCTGGCGGATATGAGCTTTGCTCAAATGATTGGCGGTAAACTATCACGTGATATGTTATTATTAATGAAAAGCATGCGGAAGAGCAGGCGGAGGAGCTAAGTCTCCACGGAGGAATAAGGTTGGACTGGTTGTATAGGGTGGCCTGGAGGTACAGGTTGGAACTGATATAAGGATGGAGCGGTGTAAGGTTGGAACTTGGTATAAAGTTGGAATGTGAGACTTGATCATTGATAATGTTTCTTGAAATTCATTTGCTTATGAGCATCCCTTTATATGTGACCTTGATGGTTGTTCATTGAATACCTTATCATTGATTATCGTTGAATTTGTATCATTGTCTTCTTGCGTAGATTCCATTGCTTAACTGTTGTTGGTCGGTATGATTGAGTAAATCTTTTGATGAGTCAAATGATGTGTATATCTCTCATTTTTAAAGCTAGTGTTGCTAAGACTATATGTATCTATTCCTAATGTCTCAAAAGTGGTTTTTCTTATAAACTATACGATATGGTACTTAACGCGTTGGAGTGGGTTACTTAGCATTATTCGCTAATGGGTGCTACCCCTTAATGTTTTACAGGTACAAAGTAGTTCTTCCTTGAGCGCACTAGATGGAGACGTTGTTAGCCTAGCCTTTCCTTCTCTCTTAGCATAGACGTTGTGGCCTACGATCCTTAAACATAGACTTGTGAATTTTATGTTGGTTTTGGGATAAAGTACTTTGAATTTAGCCTGTGCATCTAACAATTTAGTTTAGATGTTGCATAACATTTCCCGATTAACTGTTTAGCTTCAGCAACTCTTACTAGTTTAATGACAAAATTATCTTTATTCCTAAGCTTTAATTGCCTTATTTTATCCTTAAAATCGGGGGTGTTACAATTACCTACCACCACCACCACCTCCATACTATTACAAAAGAGTCTACGCTACACACCATTACACCCCTCCACCAAATCAGTATCCAAATGAACTTCCTACATCACCACCTACCATATGGCCATATGAGGGAACATGACCTTATCATTCATACTACATCGTGAGCTATACCAGTCCACGACTCAATCCACGAACGTGGACGGTTCGTAGAATCAAAACAGAAACTTCCATGACCCGATCCACGATCATGGACTGTTCGTGGATCCAAAACAGCACCCTCCACGTTGGGAAGAACCACCCCACAACTACCAATCACCCGCTCACCAAGACAAAGAGCGTGAGCACCTTGAAGGGAGAATTCAAAGCTTCATACTTGAATCTAAGGAGGAAATGATGAGCCTTAAAGCCTCCATGAAGAAAGAACTTGAGGAGGAGTTGAATGCTTTCAAGCATGACACACTTTAACCCCTCAAGAGAATGGAGGAAAATATTGCCCAATCTAGGCGAGTGCGCAGTCTAGTGTAGCTTCTTCCGCTTGTTTTATGGCCTGTGTGCCGATTTAGTTGTAGACCTTTGAGACTATGGATTAGATGTAATTAATGCAGATATTGCCGTAGCGTTCATTCTTTTTGGTGAACGTGGTATAACACCCCGTGTTTTGGATTTATGTTTATCTAGTTATCCTTCAGTTTTCCGCTGTGTATGTTGTTTAGCTCAATTATCTGCATGTTTAAGGCTTTTAAATAGCTTGTTTTTAAGGGGTGTTACAGTTGGTATCAGAGCCTAGGTTTGAACCTAGGAAGGAGTTAAGTCTAGACTTTCTAAGTGGCTAAGTGTGGTTTGAGACCTTTAAGCGACCTTAAGAATCTAAGTGTTAGGCTTAGGACTCTAGGTTGCGCGGTGAGCTGAGTCTTGCTTTCTGTCCTTTGCTTGTTTGCTATCTTTTGGTAACCGTGTTATTATATATATATATATATATATATATATAGGCGGGTTCAAGTGCGGCAGTGTCTTACGGTGCGGTTATTTCTTACGGTGCGGCAACACCAATAGTTCACCAAATATGCACCATCAACGTTAGGAAATACACCACACAAAACAGAGTAAACAGAGCCCTGCATCACCAAACACACACCATTAGGTGTGAGTAAAAACACCATACACTGTTCGGAAATACACCATTGGGGGTGGTGAGTTATATGGTGTGTTTTTTTGAGTCTGTGGTGTATTTTGTGATGTTTTATTACATTTCATTGGGGTGTGTTTTTATTACACTGTTGGTGCATATTGTTAACACTGTTGGTGTATTCTGGAATTTGACCGCACCGCCGCACCGTAAGACCCCGCCGCAATATGCGAACGAATCAACGCGCAACACATGTCCAGATCTAATGGATTAAAAAAACACGGTAGCATTTTCGTAAATAATTGAACATTGAAGTGCAAGTAAAATGTATTACAAGTGCACCTACTATCTGAAATAACTATCAGAAAACAAATAAGTGGATCTTCTTTGTTATACATCACTCTGAAATAACTATCACAACCTTATTTAACATAGCATGGTCTGTTCATGATTCCTGGACATCTACTATTTAGATGATTCAGAATATGTTTTCTCAACAATTGGAACAAGTTATATTAACTTGTGCACTTAGCTCTGTCAGTATTTGCATTCATGTAAAACATATGGTATATGAGTTTGTGAATTAATTGCCTAGTTGGTGCCTTGTAAAATCGACTTATTCATCCACCTACATGCACTTCCAATGGTGATATGGCCAGCCCATTCAAGATCATATCTTTTAAGAATTGAAGTATCTCTCTATACTCGAACAAGAAGGCACTCGCATTTTTTTTTTTGAGACCATGAGTTGTTCTGAGCATACCCTAACTAGTAAGAGACACTTTTAAGTCTGTACATACTCAGACTAATCTTCGTACGCACCGGGCTGGCCCAATTAAGGGATAAAGTACTCGCCAGATTGGTTTTTCCATACGTGAGTGGATTCGGACTCCCGACCTCTCTTAAGTAAGAAGAGTGCGCCGCCACTCACGCCAACAAAGTTGGTTAGGCACTGCATATTTAACAATGAAATGATCGAAGATGCACAGGCCAATCGCATGCATATCTGAAATGAAAGCCTTTGCCAGAACAGTGAACACCATACCTTTTATATACACATATGCATTGATATATATATCAAGCTGAAGCAGTCGTAGGGCAACTCTCCTTTGGCGGATAAGTAACTAATCAGGTCGAGATTTTTAAGGTTACTTACGTTGTAGCATCCGATTATCTGCCAAACGGAGAGCTGCCCTCCAACTCCTTAGCTCGCACAAATCCCATTTTTTGATGAATAAATTGGCAAAGTGCACGCTGAGGGTTTTATAGACTTCTTTTCTTCTGCGCTTTTCGGCCGTACTCATGGAATAAACCGTTGGAGAAATGGGATATGCTCTTATTGTGCCAAAGGATATCCTGTCTATGATTGATGTATATATATGCCCTATCCTCTTCTTTTCATTCATTGGTGAATGTGTATATATTTTGTGGTGGGATGTAAGTTCTTCTTGATATGGCTTTTTCCATATCTGTTTCTTTCACTCTGTTGAGATGCGGCCTATATACATTAATTTTGTGCAAAAGTATAGTGTAAGTGGTACGTGGCACCTCAACTCTTCTCCTTTAATTTGATTTTAAAAAAAGCACACATCACTATCTAAAGATGCACTCTAAGTGGACCGGAATATATCTTAATTTTAACCTTAACCAACAAAAGACTACAAGGAGTAAAACATTTTAGATTGTTCATAACCTACAACTTAAACCAAGAAAATAGAGCGTGCTTAATTCTGCATGGTTTGAGTATATCGATCCTTCCTTAAATTCTTCCATTTTGTTTTGTAGGTTTATATTTGTGAATTGTGATACAAATATATTTCACCTGATCTTTATTCGTTGTCAAGGATTATATTTTAAACCTAATAAATTTTATCTTATGATTTTAGCATGCACAATAGATCCAAATTAGTTCAGTTGACCGAGAAATTGAGAATTTATCATCTTGCAGAAATCCTTTTTTCTATTTTATTCAATGAAATGCATACAGTTCATAGTTATTTTGACACATCAACATCACATAAGCCTGCTTTAATTTTTTTCAACCAAAAAAAAAAAAGAAAAAGAAGAGAGAACAATAAATAGAACAAAATCGAGATCAGAGCATCATCACTTTGACTTCTTTCTGGCAAGTCTTTCCCTCAATATCTGTACTCCCATGTACCTGCACATTGCCCAATAATAATAATAACAATAATAATATTAATAATATTAATATTAATAATAATAACAATAAAGAAATAATTATAATTAACCTGGCGTAACTGAGATTACTTAAATTAAAAAGAAAAAAAAAAACTACCTTCCGAGCATCATAACAGTGGCCTGAGGATTAGTCCCAGGAGAGTAATAAAACGTGGATCCATCAACGACTCGAAGGTTATTAACTCCGAAAACCTTATAATTGTGGTCAACAACTCTGCCGACCTGGCAACCTCCATGATAGTGCCAGATTGTCATCACGCTGTCTCTACAGAACTGCTCCAATGATATTGAGGCGTTTGTGTGCTTGGGCAGCAGGTTCACCGGCGCCGAGGCGGACATGTTCAAGAGGATCTCCCAGGAAAGGTTGTCGAGCCGGAACTTGGCGAACGGCTTCGATTCGATTATGGATTCGATGACTCTGATGCCATTCACGCAACGCTGTAGGTCTTCGGGGTTTTTGAAGTAGTTGAAGGTGACGGAGGGGTTGTCGTCCGGACTTAGAGTTTGGAGAAATAGGTCGCCGGAGGAGAGTGGACCCATGATCTTCTCCAAGATGAACCCTCCTTGGAACGCCGGTTGTTCTAGCTTGCTCATGGCGGCGATAGCCTCGGCGATGGCTTCTGGGGTTCTTTGTTTTGGTGGCACCGTTGAAAGCTGTCCGATCTGCATCGTATCCAATCAATTTTTTAAAAATTATTATTAACCATAATATATTGAAAAATTCTCATGTGAAACCATTTCATGGGTTTGAGATATAGTGTTTTTTTTATTTAGTCCTAAAGGACTTTTTGTGTTTAATTAAGTTCTGGACTTTAATGATTTTATCTCATTGAGTCATCTGTTAAGATAGCTGGATAATTTCATATATAGTAATTTTATCTAAATTAATATTCAATTATAGTGATTTTACTCAATTTAGTCATTAACTATAGTCATTAGTTATTTTTTTATTTAGTCCTTGATTCTAACTGCCGATGATTTTTTTTTTTTTTGAATGCTACTAACTCTATTACACTGTAGTTATAATTTAAGATTAAATAAAAAAAAAAACTATAATGAATGACTAAATTAAGTATTAACTCATAAAATATTATAAATAATATTTAAAGTATTGATTATATCTATAATTTATTATGACACAAGTCATACCAATTGAGATCCATAAAATGGTCTCACAAGAGGGAGCCCCATTAATTGAGAGAAAGTGTTACCTTAGGAGAGAACATTCCATAATCATGGCTAGGGGCAGAGGCGGCGAAGTTTTCGCCGGAGGCGGCTTCGATGTAGGTGCCGAAGGGGGTTATTCCGACGATCTGAATGAGGGAAACCTCGACGGGGACCGGAGACGGCACGAACACGGCGTTCATCGGATTATCCGACATGCCTCGTCCGACCATGGGCTGGTCCAAGACCACACTGATATTATGGTCCATAAGATGTTGGGCCGGGCCTATTCCACTCAGCATTAGTAACTGTGGGCTCCCAAGGGCCCCAGCTGATACAATAATTTCGTTCATTGATCCTTTCTTCAAGATCGCCTTGTGCCTCACCCCTAATGCATCTCTAAACACCACTGAGCTGGCTCTTAGCTTTGAACTACCTGCAATTTTTATACATTTAATTAAACTTTATGATGCATTATTGACACATGTTTCAGTAGTGTTTAATGCAATCAAATATGATATATCTAACTGTATTAGGTACATTTAAGCTCGTACCATACTCAGACTAATCTCTGTTTACACCGGACCGGTCCAATTAAGGTGCAAAGTGTTCGTGAGATTGATTTTTTCATACGAGAGGGTGTTCGAACTCCCAACCTCTTTTAAAGGATAAAAGTGCACGACCACTCACGCTAACCAAGCTGGTTAGTTAATACTCGATTTAGTCCTTCAATTGCATGAGTTTCAATGTGTTATAATAATTTCTATAAGAGCGAGATCATAATTCCTAAGAAGTAAGAATGTAATATAAATCTTGCATCTCAACTAACCAATTAATAAAATACTGGTGTAAATTGAGTTAATACTTGAGATATAAATTGAGTTATTTAATACTCAATTTGGTACCTCAAGTATATACATTTCACCAACCTTTTTAATTTTCTGGTTAGACATTAATTTGTTAGCGGTTAAAAGTAAGGCTAAAAATGTAATTTCGTAATCATTAGATTAGTGATTAGCTAATGATGGCTGTACAAATTAAATGAAATGTAGTACCTTTGTGTCTAAACAAGATTCGGTGAACGGAAGCATGCAAGAGAACGGTGAGGCCAGAGGGGTTGGCATACTCGAGAAGATCGGCGGCGGTGTGGCGGATGCCGGAGGAGTTGAAGGTGGAACCGCCGATCTTGGTACCGTACATATGGTCGTAAGTGAAGCCATTGTACGGCGTGACCCCAGCCTCCAGCAGCCCATCTCTGACGGCCGACTGCCACTCCCTCACCGGCGGCATAAACGCTACCTTTTTCTCCACCCACTGGTACGACTCGTTGACCAGCCGGCCGTCCCACCCCACGTCGCTCACGTAATCCGGCGACGCGCGCGTGTAGAACCCCGCGTTCAGGCAGCTCCCGCCGCCCAGAACGCGTGCGCGCGCGTTTATCACCCCGTCCTCGGACACGAAGCGCTGCGACGGCGAGGTCGGCGAGAGGTCGGAGAGGGCAACGCCGAACGACGACAAGTTGGTGATGTTGGGATTGCCGTACGGTGAACCTCCCCGCTCCAGCAGAAGAACGCTGTAGTTCTGCGACAGCGTCGCCGCCAACGGACACCCGGCGGTGCCGCCTCCGATGATGATGTAATCATAGTGCGACACTTTCGGCGCCGCCGTTGCTTGGTGCATGAAGGAGTAATCCGGAGCTGCCCATTTTCCGGCAATGCAACCCAGACAACATTAACAGACCAAACATAAATTAAAAACCAAAAAAAAACAAAAAAACAAAAAACAAAAAAGAATCAGAAAAAGAAAAATAAACCTGTTTCAGAAACAGAAGACGAGACATGGAGAATTAGAAGTCCAAGAAACGCAAGATTGAGCGATTTACAGAGACCCAATGCCATGACGATGATGATGATGATTGATGAGAGAGAGAAGAGGGAGAGTCTGGAATCTGCAGTAGTCTGGTACTCTGGTTGCTTTGATGAGAGCTAAATAAAAAGAAGAAAAAAAAGAGATTTATAAGTTGGAATAATAAATGAATGATTAATTATATATTGTAAAATGCAAAAGTTGTCTTAATCTCACCGGTACTAACGGCAATAAGATTGAGAGTATAAAGGTTGCTCTCTGTGTTTGTAGGCTATGGATACGAACTCCGATCCAAGTGCACATTTAAAGAAGCAATGAACGAATTGAAATGCATGCAGAAGTTGTGATTTATATATGCTATATTACAATATCATAAAATTTTGCCTACATATTACGGAGTATATAATAATAAAAAAAGAAAATTATATAATGTAATTGCTATTTTTATTACAAGTTATTGCTATACTTTTTTAAGAGTAAATACCAATTTTGGTCCATGAGTATTAGCAAAATAACGATTTTGATCAACATGTTTAATTCCTACCAATTTTCATCAAATACTATTGTTTTAGTGTCAAAATTCATCACACGGATCACCCTTTCATTTAAGACATGTCGAAATATGAATTATTATGGGTATTTTCGTCCTTTTCAAATTAAGATCCCAATTTGAACATGAATAAAGGGATTTAAGCCCTAAGATCGATCCCAATTCGCAACTATCCTCATCAAATTCGTAATAATCGATTATGCACCGCACATCAAAACGACGTCGTTTTGTTTAATAAAAAAAAAGGGCATCCATTTCTTGTCGTTCCGCACCCTTCCACAAAAGGTAACTCTATTATTCAGTTTCATTTTGTATACACTGCATTTTCGGTTCAACACAACTACAGTTTCATTTCGATATAACCAGTTTCATTCGATATTTATAGACTCAAATATGTGAAAATGTTATTTAATTTTATTTTATATACACTATAGTTGTA